CGCGACGTCTCTCTGATTCGGATCTCAAAAGTGCTGCTGTGCGTCGTCGTCGTGTTTGACGCGAGGATTTTTTCGCGGAAACGTGACAAGGATCTCCTCCGTTTTACTTATTAGATTATACATCGAGGAAAATATAATCAGGTCCGACTAATTACACAACTGTCACGATCTATAATAATATATTGGCATAATAATACGATAATTCAGGAATTACGTTATATAATTATTACACGTGCGCAGTGCGAGTTGAATAATTATTGGGTACCCATTATCTCTTGAAATATAATCCACACATTTTTATATCAAATGGTTTTAAAGTTTTTCGAGCAAATTTATCCTTGCCAACTGGCAAAGTTTCGAGAGATACGCCAAAGAAATATTGCGCGCGCAGCAATGTACTTCTTATGTCTGTTCTCCACTCTTGTAGAATTTCTCAGCGTGTAAGTACTCCATGCCCCGTTTTTGAGAGTCTGAAGTACGATAATGAAAGGTGAGACTACGTTCGACTTTACCAGAAATGTTCAAAGTGAAGGCAACCCGGTAACGATCTCGCCCCCAAGAATTCGAATTGTTAGACTCTTCATTGAAGAAATGAGAAAATTGCCGTGATGAATGAGATCGTGTGCACGAGGTCTGTGTGTATGTGTGTGCAGAAAGACTTGAAATGAAAGGAATGCTCGAGTCGTGAGAATGTTAAATTGTAGCTATTGTTGTAACGCATGGAATGCGTACAATATTGATATCTCAGATAGACTTTCATGATTATCACGACGTGAGATGATGAAAGAATTATTTTAATTATATTTACGAAACAAATACGCTGATAAAATAATTATTAAATTTACGTAATATAATAACGTAAATATTTGATTGTCTCAATATAGAAACGAATTAACTAAAAGTTACATTCAGATTTTCATATTACATAACGTGTTGTTTCGAGTAAATTTTGATAATTTTGATAATTTCCGTCGCATTTTACTTCGCATTTCTACGCTCTATACGATAAGTATGAATGACGAATGAAACATTCATAACGAATGCAACCTTTACAAATCGACCGGTAAGGTTATTAATAAATTCATGTTCACTTGTCTATCTGGATAGTGTCTAGTGAAACACCGGATATATGCATAAAGATACGAAATTAAAGATACAAAATTGCACCAAAGGTTTCTTTACACGAAATAAACATTTGATCAAGATTATTTATCAAGAAAAAATATATATTATCTTCACCCATAAGCAGATTACTTTTATTTCGAATAATTTCATCATAAAAAAGGGAAATTCAGCAAAATTGGAGATATTGCTGAACATGCAAAAAATTAATTTTTAAAGAGTTAGTAGCCATTTGCAACAGTTATTTGCAATAGTTATTTGCAACAGCGAGCAGTTTAGATTCGATGAATTTACATATATATTATTTACAAGTGACTGAGACAGTGATTCAGAATTCAATTTAACAATTGCTACATTGGAGTTGTAATTGATTAAATCACGCTTGGACAAACGAGTCTTCGCAAATAAGGGCGACTTCGACAAATAGAAGAACTCAAAGGCAGATCTGCCGGCGATTGAACCGTTGAATTGCCGTCGTCACGAAAAACCAGGAAAAATCACCCACTCGAATGAATGGTATCAAGCCAGCTTCAAAGTGCTCTTTCTTGCTTCAACCAGGGTAACTTGTCGTGGCTTTTCACGGCGCCGATTCTTTCGAGAACTTTTATATTTTTCTTTCTACGGAGTTGACTCGCTGCTACAAAAATCGACCTGTACTTACACGCGAGCACCAGGTAGTCTTTGTTCTCTGAAGGGTGATTTCAATATGCCGCAACCGAAATTCGCGGGAGATGGGAATGGATTTCGTGTTGCGCGCAAATGTGTTATACATTGTATCGTACAAAAGCAAAACTCAAAGTTCAACACAACATTGTGCGAAAATACTTGAGAAAAACATTTAACATTACATCAGATATTTTATTTATATTTCTGGGCTCTCAGTATATCTCATTACTCCTTTATTAAGAATTTTGAAACTGGCATCGCTTCTACGGCAAGTAACAAATGTATTCACATTTTAACTTTCTCAGCTCCTTTTTTCGTGATTGATACATTAAATTTATTCCTCGACGAAAAGGCATACTATATTAGGTCGTAAAGTGCCTTTACGCCGCGAGAATTTAATTTCTTGTTACGTATGCCAGAACGTGGCTCATACTGGCGGAAGGAAATTTGGAATGCGAAAGTTTGAATTTATACGACGTTCTAGACTTTACGCTCGTTTCAGTCGCGGTTTCCCAATTTTATGGAAATTCGCGTAGCTCCCATATTGGCGGGAACAGGATGGCGCGGAAGATTTAGCAAGTCTGCAATATAGTGGTGCCTTGCCTTCTCGCGAGTCTGGCGCGGGTGAGATAAGGAAAAATGGATTGGCCTTTAAATTTCAACAATTACATACAAGTCACAAAATCGAAATGTACGATATGATTCGTAAAAGTTAGGAACAGATCACACGCAACACACGACGGAATATATAGTCGAAAGCTAAACGATAGGGTAAAGCACTTAGTTATCGACATCTCCTTAGAAGAAGATCTGATTTTTCGTGCAACCAGCGTAGCAGTTAAACTTTTTACTTGCACTCAATAATCCCGAAGAAGAACTTCGCGAATAAAATTGCGGACAAGCGTCGCTGGCCGCAAGAGGAACCAGACTTTTCTGGAGTGCTCATGACTAAGCGGGATCAATAATTGGGCGTTTTACCTTACTTGCGGATCTCGCGCATCGTGAGCAGCATTTGACGCGATTTTCGCAGCCACGAGATGTCACGTGGTAACTACATCACGCTTCGTCGATCAATCTTCGTTCGAAGCTTTAAAAGAGACCATCGATAGAGTGATGCGAAATTTACAGCTTCGTGCGGGAAGCATTGTTACGGTCCGCCGCGCTATTCGCCGGACAAAAGGCCGCGAGAATAGGAATTCTTCTCCACGGCTTCGTTTTATCCCAGTTAATTTGAAAATGATTTGATTCATTTCAGTCGGTCGGTCGGTCGGTCGGTCGGTCGCTTCGTCTCTCGCTCGATCACCCACGTAGTTAAAAGCTTTCGCTTGCAATGCGCGATGCAGTTTAGCTGCTTCAACGGCGCGGTTTACATTTCCCCCGTTTCGTAACTGACGGACTTTCCAGAGCACACGCGACGCGCGCGTTCCCATATCGCCATATCGGCCAACTCCTTGGATGGCGCAATTTTCTTATATCGGGAGAAAGTTCGCGCGCAAGTTCGCATCGCACGTATCCGGCCCAAAGGATTAAGGCGAAAGATACGTCGGATTACGTCGGGATATATACGGCGGTGGCCTCGTACTTCCTCTGCCCGAACATCTCTGAGAGTCTTAATGCGGCTTAAATTACTTCAACGTTTCTACAAGCGCCGTTACACGCGACATTGCACTTTGCATAGGTGCGTGTTATGCGCTGCGACAACGATTTCCTTCCGTATCGCTGATTGCGCGATTGTTCTGCCTGCAAATTCCAAAACTACAGCGCACAATGCAAAGCTGACTCAACGGAAAAATCCAAGACGCTGAATAGACACTGTAATAAAGCAGTCCATTCTGCAGTGTCACCCTTCTTCTTCTTCCTCTTCGTCATAGTCGTCGTCGTCGTCGTCGTCGTCGTCATCGTTGTTGTTGTCGTTATCGTCGTCGTAGTTGTATTTCTTCCAACGCGACCGCCCTCTCTACCGTTTTGGAGCCCGGCCTCCATCTCGACCCTTTTACAGGCAAATTCGCTTCAAATTGCTCCTGGAAATCTCATTTCCACTATCTCTATCTAGGATCCTTGTCAAGAAGAAGAAGAAAAAAAGCGCAGAAGAAGAAGAAGAATTACGCGCCGTTACGGCGGATACATGAACTGCTTCCAACGTAGTGCGATAAAGTACGGCGAAAAGGAACGACGGGTCGAAGGGTCCCGAATGAAACAAGGAGAACGGAACGAAAATACGGTAACGTGCGCGGAGGAGATGGGAAGGCGCGTCGCTATTTTCCGCTCTTTGAAGATCGCTGATATAAAGCCTTCCTCGAGCGATGTTTTCCCGGTATATGGTATACGAATCGTATCACGTGAACCATGCCTGCGGTCGAAATTACGGAGCAGGCTGGGGACGCCGATGGAGAACGTACGCGCATGTGAGGAACGAGCGAGATATTCAAATTACTTTCTCTCGAGGAGTTCGCCCTCTCTCAGGAAGGAATTCTTCGTACGCGCGTTCGCACACCGATGTTTCGTTACCGGGGGCCCGATACACGCGGGAGACGTGAATGCCGTGTGATTTTATGAATTTCACGCTCGCACGCAAGCACATAAATTAATATTCGCACCAAGCGACATACCGTGTGATACGATGAACCCGGCTGAAGCAGCGAGTGCCCATCTACGTAACCGTAGAAACGCGAATATTATTAGAAGCTTTCGCGCGGCATTACGCACGATGTGTTACTACTTGATAATAATGACGCCGTGTATCATGTACATCATTAGCGAAACGATAATTGCGCCCGCCCCGTAGTGCCTGCTTCGACAGCACTTGAGCCTTTGGCACCCGACGAATTATCGTAACAGTTGTGCGCAAACATCGGTTTTGTTAACGCGCGCGACTCCGCGCGTTTCCAGAGCCACTTCTGCCCGTAGGAGCTACTTCCGGTCGTTTCACGAGCTGAGCGTAACAAGTCCAGCCCGCGGCAATTTGTTTAGAGCTTCCGACGTTATTCAACCCCTTTGACGCAAGTCCAAGGTGGCGGCGTATCGCGCGCGCGCGCGCTGCTTTTCGCCGGAGGAGAGCGCAGTCTACGGTGACGTTATTGACATCTTTATTTGCGCTCAGCGATCGCCGACACGTAACTTCGCGAACTTTTACATCGGCGACGCGATCGAGCGGCTCGCGAACTCTCGCTCGCGCGACCAAGAGAGATTGATGGCGTTCTTCTCTCTTGCAGAAGCACACGCGCCAATACCGCAGGCGGTCTTGAGAGAAACCACGAGTGCTCGACAAAGGCTGTAAAACGGGTGCGAACGAGGGAGTGGAGTCTGATTCGGGAACCGGCGGGATTCAAACACGAAACCTGGGTCAAGGTAAGTCCATCATTACTAAAAGAATAATGTTGGAAGTTTGCAAAAGTTCGTCGCTTTCAGCCGCGTTTCTATTATTAACTCTCGCCCACAGCATACAGTGTCCCAGACTCTCCTCCGCAATTTTCGTGGGAACGTAGAACGGATTAATTAAAAAAGATTTGTGCGCACATTGTCACGCACAATCATGTAACAATTTTCTTTCATTAATAACTAAAAATCCACATGGTTATTTACAAAATGATAAAGAGCTGTTTGTTCAATTTGACCTAATATATAAGCACACAACAGCACATATCGCCACTGCAGCTCATCTATTATATTGCACGTGATCATTCACCAATCTTCTTTAATTAATATCTCGACTATTATTGCAAATATCACAAAACGAACTTTTACAAATAGTACTTTTACGTTTACTCCAATCCATTTTACGTTCTCACAAAAATTTCGGAGGAAAGTCTGGCATGCTTTATATGCTTTGGCATCTCAATCTGGCACATTGGCAGCGTCGCCTTTGTCCTCGCTTATTTACATTTTGTAAAAGAGTACTATTAAAAATTTATAAGAGATAATAAATATACTTTTAAGCGTATGTAAAATAAAATTACGTGCAGAAGTGGTCGCGAATATTCACTCAAGTATTTCATTTCACTGCAAATATAACGCGACGATAACGTGAGTTTACGTAAAAATTTGTAACTTTACTGGAAATTGAATTAAAAAATTAATATTGTAGGATCTCCTTGAGAGATAATACTTTCGAACCTTTATAAAAAAAGTATATTACATGTTTCAATTTGTCAAAAGGTATAATTTTTAAGGTATAAGTTTTTAGATATACGAAAATCCATCATTTTCTTAATCAAGAAGCGAAGAAAAGCATTAATAGTTTCAAGTTTCTGCAATGTTAATTTATTGTATATATAATGCGGATTTTGTTAAATTTATTACAAAGATTAGCTCTCTTCGTATTTGAATTTTTTCTTTGATCGTGATTGGAGTCTGACTAAAACATTGTTCACAGCCAAAAATAAGTAAACTACTCACAAAAAACTTCTCTTATATATTATATAAAGAATCGGAATATAACGAAAAGTCATCTGTATTTTATATTTTTATTTTAATAAGAGCCATGAGACAGAGGGAAAAAGAAATTATAAGAGTCAGACGATTAGAGGAATCAATATTACGAGATATCATGTTATATAGAACAACGTCCGCAATCTGTCTGCAGACTTCAAGAGTTCTTTTGATGAATGAAATCATCAGCGATACGACGAGTTTTTGCATGAGCCACTAATATAAGACTCTCAAGAAAAAATAAGACAAATAGACAAAGATGGATATTCTTGTCACGTTTAAAACGGAAAGTGTAGAGAATAGTTAGACGAACGCAGCCGGCGATTGAGAGGATATCGTACAATTAATCAATTAAACCAATGCAATCATCCCTTTCGCATCCCTTAGGCCTGATTCGCAGTAAAAGCAATTACGAGATGCGTCGGCTTTACTGCCGCATTTATCTCAATTCCTTCTACGCGATGTATTAAAATGCAAACAGCTTAAGAAAAACTGCGCGCACTCATCTTCTATTTTGTGGAAATAATTTGTATCTCTCGGAGAGTCTGATGAAAATGCAAATTGATTCTCTGAAAGAAAGAAAAATAATCACGTCGCAGAAATAATATTAATAGCGAAAGTGCTCTCGCATCTTATAAGAAAACAGTTACATCGTCGTTTTCAACGGCGCCCGGAAATTTTAATGGATTTTCGCGCCAACACCTGCTCGACAGCTTCAACATTAAAATTTTTGCTGCGTCGTTGGTGATTTTAACAAAGTTTCAGCGTGTTGCTCGCACGCGCTGGCTATGGCACTCGAGCGGATAATCGATAGAATAAATTATTCTATGTCGATCATATGGTAAAGTAACTTTCGCGCCAACGTTGACACGGAAAATCGTGTTCCGTCACTTGAGTCGATTTAGTCAAAAGCTCTGTTGCCTACTTCTTGTCGCAGTTTCTAAATTATTACTGCATATTCTCTCTCGCGGGCAGAAATTAATGTAGAAAGTAAATGCCAATATTTCTGGATACGTGAAGAAATATTGTGTAATGCCCAAAAAGAAAAAAAAAAGAATTGTATATTGAGAAAAAATACTTAAAAATGCATTTACAAGATACAAGACTTATTCATGGAAATAAACTTTATCTCATAGCAATGAGCTTTATATCTCACAAATACATTCTCAAGTATTTTTTTCTCTGTGTAATTGTAAGATGCTGCGATCCCACACTCTAGACGAGAACCTCTACTGAAAAAGTATCTCATAAAGTAGACTATTAACAGGAAATCTCTTCTATATTATTCAAACTTCTTCCCTTTTGAACGAGGAAGAATACGTTTACTTGAAACAAAATGCTCTGTTACGCGCGAAACGAGACGCGAAAAGCAAAGCTTGTATTGCAGATAGAAAGACGAAGTTCCTCTAACTTTAAGAATACTGCGTTCAGAATATTTTCCTCCTCGTTTAAGAAGAATCTTCCGATTGAGGTCATACACGAGAGTAAAATCCTCTAGGACTCAGAGGATTTCGCTAAGGATGAGATGATATTTTTCTAGATGAAAAATCAGCAACGATTGCGCAACGTGAAATAAGAAACTCAATGGGAATTCACTTTGCGTTGCGTTACAGCGCGTAAAATGCCAAGTTACAAAATAAAGACGGAAATTTCATTACGATTTCTGCCAAGGAAATAAGCCGGAGTGAATAATTCTGTTGGTAGCAGGCATGAAACGGTATTAATAAGTACGCGCTCACCGAAGATTACTTTGCAGGGTCCGTTGATCATCGCGTGCCACAACGTTGCATTTGTCGTCGAATTTTCGTAACCGGCAGCGGAGCGAGCCAATTTGGCGGTCGCAGGTGAACATTGTCTTCCGTTAATTAATTTCAGTCCGCTAAATTCGCCGAAAGTTTCGCATGGACTGGAAAGTGGCTGGGAGTATACCGTAACTTCTACCGGGACGTAACCTTGCGCTTACACGATGGAACCCGCAGTGATGCGGACGGCGCATTGATGGCAATAGGGTTCACGGAAAGCCTCGGGGTCAAATACCAGAGGCGTGCCGGCATCTCGGGTCTGTCTATGCGGAAACGCAGCCATCTGTACGTGACCTCGAATTAACTTTTGTAATACAGGGCTAGATCCCGACAAATCCCCCAGCAATACTTTATTCAACATTTCTTTTGTTGTAATTCTCGTTATTTTATGCAAGTTAAATCATTATATCAAGACAAACGAATTAAGTTTATTATGAATATATAAGTAATACCCCTCCCCTTCCCCCACAAAAAGACATGATCTTATTCTTAAATTCTCTTATATATATGATCTCAAAAGAAGATACTCCTAAGATCAAAAGAAAGATATATATATATATATATATATATATATATATATATATATATATATATATATATTCTAACATCTAAAATAAGAATTTTTGTAGCAATATTTTTGTAGAAATGTGATATTTCTTGTAATCCCATATTCTAAGCAAAAACTTTTACGCCAAAGACTATTTCTCTTCTAATAAAGTAAAACTTATCAAGCAGAAATTATATTAATTATTATATTATTCTGTCTTCTTTTCTTTCTTGAATTGAGAGGAATATGTTTATTTGAAGCAGAATGCCTTCTTATTAGAAGAAATTTCTGTTAAGAATGTAGTCAAATTATGTAACGGGTAAATAATTTCAAGAGAGAATTGCTTCTGTCTACTTTAATGTTGCTCTTACGGCTTTATCCCGCGATCTGTCTCGAGACACGTCACACGACATGTATATAGAGAAACATTAAAATCAGATATAAACAATAGCACCAACATATGTAATCTAATGGACGAGCAAATCAATATTCAATTTCTCACAAGAACCAGACTGTAGATGACAGACGAACTTTAAGAACATTGCGTTTAGAATATTTTTCTTTTGATTTTAGAAGAATCCTTTTGAGATTGTATATAAGAAAATTAAAGATAAGATTCTATTTAATTCTATTTTTTTGAGTGTTTATACACATACGGAGAAAATATTATAGTTTTTCTCTATATCAATTTTTTCTAATTTCACTATATTTCTAATAATGCAGGAATATACTGTCAGTAAGATTTATGTTGCTAACACTCATAGTAAATGTCACCAAAAACGTAGCAAAATTGTTAATAGTACATTCTAGCTCCTAAAGTACAAACAGCACATATAAAATAAAAAGATTAATGTAAATTAATGCAAAATGTCGGCCTACTCTTGGGCTATAAAATTCCACGGTAATTTCCACTAGAAACTTCTTTCTGCGTGCACGTATTGCGTCATCGTATAGCAATGAAAATCTCATAAAAATAATTCACTTCATACGTCCATACGGAACAGCTTTTCGTGGCGCAAATGCGTCAAAAGCAATTGAATTATACGCTCTTAGAGCACGGAAGTTCTCAGCGGCCCCATTAGAAAACGAGTTGACGATATCACTCATGGAAATAATCCTCGTGAGTTATATTATCCGATTAAGTTCTCGCGAGGGGTACTCGGCTGAGAGGGCAAGAAACGTTCCTACGTAATCCTCACGATGGTTAACTCGAGCATTAATTAACGACGGTCATTTGTAACGTCACGGATTGCCTCGCGCAGCTCTCGGCTTTAACGCGACCTTTCAAGGTGCCACTGGAATTAACCGTTCGATGGATAACGTATCGATCGCGAAGGGACTTTTGGGGTGAGACGGCGCATTGATCATCTCGGCGACCTGCCCTGCCGGGCAAGAAATGGTTGGAACTTTAGAACTCCCTCGGGATCACGTGGCTGGTATGTACACAGAAGCGAATTGGGTCGGGGGGAGCGAAATTTCAGGCCCGGAGATTTCGCCGCACTAATACCCGCCGGGCAAGAAATTGCAAACAAGATCCTCGCGTCGGCACGTGAAATTAATCCTTCGCATGC